GAAAAGGGAAAGAATTTTTCTTCTTCTTCTTTTTTTAAAAGGTTTTATTTATTTATTTGACAGAGAGATCACAAGTAGGTAGAGAGGCAGGCAGAGAGAGAGGAGGAAGCAGGCTCCCCACTGAGCAGAGAGCCTGATGGGGGGCTTAATCCCAGGGCTCCAAGACCATGACCCGAGCTGAAGGCAGAGGCTTAACAAGCTGAGGTACCCAGGTGTCCTAGAATTTTTCTTCTTTCTAATCCTCATGTTAGCATTCTCCCCCGTGGTAACCACTACTAACAGATGAGTAAATGTGCCCACCAAAAAAAAATTGTATGTGTGTATCAGCATACTTTTTGTATCTATTAATTTATAAAACAAATGATAATACCATTTCATTAAATATATCTGGAATATAGGTCCATACCAGCAGGTATTCCTTTTTAATGGCTCTGTGGTATTCCATTTGTGTCTACCATGGATTACTTAATTCCCCAATGATGGATATTTAATTTGTCTTTCATATATGGCAGTACTGCAATGAACATTCATAAATGTTCATATATAATATATATTATTTTCACACACATATACAAACATATATGTATATACACATAAACTTCTGCAGGAATATCCATAGGTAAATTCCTAGCAGTGGCATTGCAAGTTAAAGGGACAATTCCATAGCTTGAAATTTTACATTTTGAAATATATTGCCAATTGCCATGTGGTCTGTCCTTATGAGCTAGCTTGTGCTTTCTCACAGCATGGCAGACTCAGGGCAGTAAGATCACTTATATAGTGGCCGAAGGACAAGGTAGGCATTGTATTGTCTTTCCTGACTCAGCTTCAAAATTATACAGCTTTGTTTCTACCCCAGAATTCTCCCCAGATTCCAGAGGAGGCACACAGACCCTACCTCTTGACAGGCAGAGTCAAAGTCACACTGTAGATTTTCACGTGGGTTGGGAGATAATGCTCTAGCAACTTTTGAAAAAACAACCTTCCCCATTGCATAAATTTATACTTCCATTGACTGTATATTAGAATACCCATTTCCCCATGCCCTTTGCAAATCTTATGGGTGAAAAATGATTGCCTCTTTACTAGTTTGATTTACATTTTTACTAAGAAATGTGAACATTTGAACAGATTTTCATGTCTTTTATTGGCCATTTATATTTCTTTTCTTATATATGAACTTCTGTATGATAGCTTTCTATTCAAGGGCTCCTTGCCTGTGAAGAAAATGATCCCTTTCTCTCTGTACATCATTACAATGTTTTTGATACTGCTCTTCCTTTTTTTTTCTTTTTTTTATGCTCTTCCTTTTTGACTTTGTTTTTTTGCCATTCAAATTTATAACTTCTTTCTAGTCATATTTATCAATATTTTCCATTAGAGTTCCTGGGTTTTATAACTTGCTGAGAAAAGTCTTCCTTACTCCAATGTTTTAAAAAAAAAATACCCAAGTTTTCTTCTAGATTTTGGTCATTCTCGCTTCTAATCTGTTCCATATAATGTTATATGGACTATATAAATTGTATCATCCTTGGTTTCCTGAAAATAACTCCCTTTGGCCGTTAGACACTATTTTTTATGTACTATTGGACTCTAGTTGCTAATATTTTCCCCCAGATTAAAGTTTTTCACCAGTGCCAGATTTCCCCCAAATTTCTCATTTCTTGAGACTCTTTTTCTGTAAAATTTAGAGTTTTTTCTCTTAATTCTAATTATTCCCTACATATATTAATTTATTTCTTGGTTTGTCTAATTCTGATTTATAGTGTTTTGTATCATTTCTTAATATTTTAAACTCCTTCAGTAACACTGTTAAAACTTTGATCTGTTTTGTGTGCATGCATTCCTGGTATATTTTCACTATCTATACAGATATGATTTACTCCTCATTCACTTGTTTCTAATAATAACTTTGTCTGACCTCGATCATAATGCTGTTCTGTTGCTGGATTTTATAGGCAGTTATTTTTCCTAAACTTTTAGATGTGGTTTGGTAGTTTTTCTAACTTCACAGAGCTCCCTCTTCTGTTGCTTTTGTCAAAGTGCTCAAAAACATGACAGCTTGCTTTCTGAGTGGCCCATTCCCAGACTGGTCGGATCTTTCTCTTTCCTTGCCTCTGTTGTTTCTTTCCTGCTCAAATCTCCACCCCCCCACCCCCCACCCCGCATCGTGTTCAAATTTGATTCCACTTCTAGCAGTTTCTCCTCAGTGGAGGGCCCTTTCCCAAAGGGAAGCTGTGCCCAGTTGGTTTGAAAATTATTTGTATCTTAGACTATTCCAGTGCCTTTCAGAATCTACTGAGGGCCGCCCCCCTCATACTCACCAGCTATTGATTTGAGCAAAATCCCTTCCAGTTTCAACTCTTGTTCTCAAATCAGCCCCAGGTGGCTTTCCAGTCAATACGTCTTGGTTATATTAGGGCTCTCGATTGTTTTCCCCTGCTTTCTCCCACATAGACGGAGCTACCAGACAGGTCCTGTGACATTTGGTAGTTGGTCCTCATCTGCTTGCATTCTGTGGTTCATGTTAACCAGTCTTATGTCAAACGGGGTTTTGGTTTCTACTAGTAGCAAGGTATGTTTTTGCATGGGAACTAAGGGATATTCAAATTATACTACCACCTCTGCCATCTTTCTGGAATCCCGTCCGCCTGATTTTGGATTGTTTGCTACTTCTTTTCAACCCTCCATCCTCTTAATTCGTTTGAATGAACACCACTGGTATCTTTCCCACTCCCCCAGTTTAGGAGGAAAGATAAACTGCTTCCTCTCCACTCCATTTGGAAGGCATTGCATCAGCACAGTTCAAGCACAGGTAGTTTTGTTTAGGAACACCTCAGACATGACCAATAGATACTCTCTCCTGGGGAGAGCTGATTACATACAGCCAACAAAGAATAAAGAATAAGAATGGAGGAATATTTGGGAGATACATTGAGCATACTGCAAAGATCAGGAGACAAGAAACTTATTGGTGAGGGGAAACCTGGAGCTCACAGTTGCTCCTAGTTTTTTTTTTTTCTTTTAAGATTTTATTTATTTATTTGACAGACAGAGATCACAAGTAGGCAGAGAGGCAGGCAGAGAGTTGGGGGAAGCAGCCTCCCTGCCAAGCGGAGAGCCGGATACAGAGCTCAATCCCAGGACCCTGGGATCATGACCTGAGCTGAAGGCAGTCTTCAACCCACTGAGCTACCCAGGCGCCCAGTTGCTCCTAGTTTATAAATACACATGTACCTAGATACTTCCGGCCTCTACTTCAGTTTGTTACAATAGATGTAATGTCCCTGTACATTAAACACATATAGAAATCACCATAACCCACAGAACTGAGGAGCTTTTTGTAAAATGATGGAGAATTTCTTTAGGCATTTGAATCCACTGCTATCAGTAAATGAGATATTTCACACAAATGAATTCATCTCCACCACTAGTTCCCTAGTCTAAAACTTTCATAAATCCCCTATCTGTACTGTCTCCATCCATAATGTACTCCTTCCATTACTTACTGCTTTAACTGTAAAGGGAGTATTTTTTTCCCCAGAATCTAGTCAACTTATTCCACCTTGCCTAAAACCTTTCCATGGCTTCTGTTGCTCTTAGGATTAAAAACAACAACAACAATAATCCACAAAACTTCTTGGCTAAACCCTGTGCTATCTGGCTCGCACTAGCCCTCTGGCCTCATCTCAGACCATTGCCTGACCAGTCTCTGATTGGAAGGTCACATTGGCTTTTGGTCAAGTTCTTTGCCCTTACCATATATCTTAGCACCACAGGGCCTTTGCACATGCAGTTCCACCTGATCTTCCTTTTGATTTCAGCTCTACTGTCACTACCTCAGGGCAGTCTTCTCTGACCTCTCCTACTACATATATCCCCATATAGCATAGGAAGTCATGGTACTATGAACCTCTCCTCTGTAACATTGTCACCCTTGCATTTTACTTCTGTGTAATTCTCTGTGTAACTCTCCTAATTCATTATACAGTCCATGAGAATGAGGATTATAATCTGTAGCAGCTCAGCTGAATTCTTTGCACTCAGTGGGGTTTTGGTAAATTCAGGTTGAAAGATAATGCAAGGTTTTCTGAAAACTTAAAAGTTACAACTTTAAATATCATAATTATTATAAATTTATTTTGTATTGAAACCTTTAGAAATATATCATATTCCTTTCTGTTTACATAAGCAGGATGTAAAAATCATAATTTGATTTTTACTGATTCTTGTCTTAAAATCAGTTTTATACTCCAGCAAAAAAACCCCCCAAAAAACAGCCTTAGAAATATTGAGAAAGAACCGTGTGTTTCTGTCTATATAAGCAGGATATAAAAATCATAACTCGATTTTTACTGATTCTTCTCTTAAAATGTTTTATAGTCTGGTTAAAAAAAAAAAACAGCCTTAGAAATATTGAGATAGAATCATGTGTTTCAACAGTAACATCCTCTGATTGCTTGACTTTTTCCTCCCATTTTCCTTCTAGACCTCTTTCTAGAGTTGTCTGCATGAGAATAGAAAATCAATGTTTAGATTTGTTAGAACTATGTACAATGGTATGTAGTTGGAACTACATAGTTCCCTAGTTAGAACAATGTACTATGTAACTATGCTAAAATAGTTCCATAGTTAGAACTATGAAAAACAGTTAATCCTCTGATTGCTTGACTTTTCCTCCCATTTGCCTTCTAGATCTCTTTCTAGAGTTGTTGTATGCATGAGAATGGAAAATCATATGTTTAGCTTTGTTAGAACTAAATATGTTATTGGAACTACATAGTTCCCTAGTTAGAACAATTTACTATGATCTACTGCTAATTTAAATGACATAGGAAAACTGAAAGGGAGAACTGAAAGTGGGAAATTCCTCTGAAAGAGAGAGGACCTCTGTGTATATAAGGCCACACTCATGGAAGAAGGGCATTCACGCTGCAGACTCTTGAAGCGTTGCCTTCAGCACCTAGACGGTAGCAGGCAAGACTCTTCCTCTTTTCATCATGACCAGCAGGTGTATCCTCCAAACTGCTCTCCTGGTATATTTCTCCACCACGGTTCTTGCCATGAACTATAACTTGCTTCGATTCCAACTAAGCAGCAGCAGTGTGGAGTGCCAGGAGCTCCTTCTGCAGTTGAATGGAACTTCTAAAGATTGCCTCAAGGACAGGATGAACTTCAAGATACCTGAGGAGATCCAGAAATCCCAGCAGTTCCAGAAGGAGGACATCGTATTGGTCACCCTTGAGATGTTCCAGAAGACCTCTGATATTTTCAGGAGAAATCTCTCAAGCACGGGATGGAATGAGAGCATTGTCGAGAACCTCCTTGCCACACTCCACTGGCAGAAGGAACATCTGGAGGAAATCCTGGAAGACATCATGCAGGAGGAAAACTTCACTTGGGACCACAGGACCCTTCTGCACCTGAAGAGATATTATCTAAGGATCGTGCGGTACCTGAAAGCCAAGGAGTACAGCGTCTGTGCCTGGACAATAGTGCAAGCAGAAATCCTCAAGAGCTTTTTCTTCCTTGATAAACTTACAGATTCTCTCCCTAACTGAAGATCTCTCAGCCTGTGCCTCTGGAAATGGACGATGTTGACAAGGATTTTGGGCATTCTTCAACTCGCAGAGGCTCTGTAAGTGACTGACAAGCAAGATACTGTTTTTGAAAGGACAAAGATTTTAACTTTTAAAATTAATTTATGCATTAAGTTATTTTTCTACTTGAACTTTCACCCTGGAAAATAAATTTTTTTTTTATGAAACAGAAGTCAACATAGCAGTATTAATTTCAAGTTGATTTCATTAGGCCTGTATTAAAAATTACAGAACACCTACTAGATGTTCTTTGTAAAATGTGCCTGCAAAATCATATAGGTTCTGGCCTCTGCCTTCAAGGAACTTAAAATCCAAAAAGCCATGTGGAATATGTGAGACAATAGATGCTAAGGGGAGGCAAACCTTTCAGGAGAATAAATGGAACAGCCTCTTCGGAATTAAAATGGAAGAGGCAGGCAGGTGGCTCTGGAATTAGGACAAAGGGTTCTACTGCTTCTTTGCTCCTACTCTGTGCCCTCAGGCTCTCTGACCCTAAAGTTAGAATTTGACTGGCTATCAGGGCAACTAGGGGAATATTTGAGCTCTTGGGTTTGCCCTAAATTCATTCCAATTCTTTGTAGGATGCTCTGCTTGCCCCCTTCCGCAACCCTGCGGGATTTTAAAATATTTATGTGCCCCCGTAAGCTAAGGGTGAGAAGTCCCAGAACGCCTGTTGACAGTGTTAAGGAGCAGTCCTTCCCTCGTACTCTTCCTGGACAGCTAAAATGTATGCCTGTGTCCGTGGAATTGGGGGTTTCTGTCTGCTTCCTGGGTACAAACACCAGAGGGAGAAAGAACTCTGCTTTAGATCTCTGCTCTCTGGCTGGGTTTTCTCCCCATTTTGTCAGAAAAGCAAGTTTTCTCCTGGCCCCTGCTGCCCTGTTCATACAGAATTCCGTCATCTGCTTTTCCTGATGCTCTGCATCTCTGAACCGCACATCCCCTGAAGCCAAATCCGAAACAGGTGTGGCAGATAGAGTCATTTCCATCAAGTGGAAAACCAGGAGGCATGCAGGAAAGGGAAATTCGGATGAGATAGTGAGCTCACTAATTTTTCTCAGAGCTTACACTGAGAAAATACAATTTTCCTAGGAGCTTCTCCAGGCACCTGGCCAGCCTGTACCAATTGGCTGGGTTTCTGTCTTTGTACTGAACCCCCGGGAATTTACATTATCGTGGCTGCTCCTGCCATTAGCTGCCATCCAGACACTGAACCCCCGTATGTATGTAATTGGAAATAAGTCCTCCTCACAAGCACCCCTCAGGTGGGCACAATTACATTATTGCTGTTTTGCAGTTCCAGAAACTAAGTCTCGGATTTAGGAACTGCCCCAAGGTCACCATAGCTAAATGCATGGAGGTTTAAAAAAGTAAAAAGGGCCAAATCATGTAAGACTTTGTTCGTATCTAAGCATTTTCTGCCAGAGCAGTACAGAAGTCCAAGTTCCCTTTGAGGGCGTCAGCCTTGAGGAGAAGAAATCAGTATCAATCAGGGGTTTCCGAGAAGACACTACAGTACAGGGCAGACAATGAACTTGGGGCTCCCTCTTCTGACTCAAGGCCAGTAACACACGGACTATGGGACCAAGAAGTGCTATATTCCCTCGTGGATCTGCTGCGTTTGTCTCAAGACAATTGAGGTCCTGGTGAAGCAAGAAATCTTCCCTCTCCCCAAAACTCCTCACCCTCCACTGCGCCACACCCCAGCTCTGCCAAAAGCCTTCCACAGATGTGCTTCCTTTTGCCAGGGATTCAAAGACAAGATGGGCATGGAGAAATGCAGACTAATGGGTCATGGTTAGAACTGCCGAGAAGTCTCTCTCGGCATTGGATCCCAGCTGCCCATCATCTTCCCTAGGCTGAGGATACTACAGCAGTCCCAGCAAGAGGCTCTTCTCTGCTCACCACTAAATTGGCCCAGATACCGAGGGGCTGGAAAGTTCTGCTCAGCATGTGTCCTGGGGGCCAGAATGCCAGAGGAAAGACTTCTTCTGGAGAATTATAAATACCCATGCCACCGCTGAGTGTGTCAACCCATCTACAATACCAAAAGTACGTCCGTCACCAGGAGAGCTTAAATGATAATTAGTATTTAATTCCAATAAGGATGAGGAAGTCTTGCTTGAAGGCACAATTGCGAGTAGGTGCCTGTCTAAACAGATAGCAACGTATCAGGTGTAAAGTTACTATTTCAGCGGGCACTGGAATACCTCAGAGGAGAGCACTCATTCAAGGAAATCTTGATGAGCCTCTTGAGGTTGTGGGTATGCTAACCCAAGAGGTCATGCACCACCCATGCTGTGCTTTTGTGTGGGTCTATGTTGGAGGAGGAAAAAAGACAGAGAGAAGCCCATCAGCAGCTCTGTGATGGTCCCGGAACAAGATGGCAATGAAGATTTTCCGGTGAGGGCAAAGAAAGGGCTTTTAAGGACGAGGATGTCTCACATGCAACTTAAAAATTAGGTCCCATGTTTTGATGAAAACGTCTCCCCCCGCACCTCAGTGGAGATGGCCACCAGCACAAAGTTCCCATGTGTGTAGGACTCATAGAGGGCGTCCAGGTCTGAGTTTGAAATAACGTGGGGAAGTGGGATCAGGGGGCCAGACACCCACTCAGGAGCCAGATGAGTGGGGACACAAGGCGGAGCCAGGACATGAAGCCATTTTGCCCCCGCCTGCCTCCCACCTGAGGAATCCAAGGAATTCTGAGGACTCTGCGCCTCCACAGACAGGGGTTAGGAGGTGGGAACTTTTTTCTTGAAGGCGCTGGCAAGCATTTGGGTTACATAGAAGTACATGAATCCTGCCCCACCCTATGGGCCTGTAGACACAGGGTCCCTACATATATTTGTATGGAACTTTTTGCAGTTAACAAAGCGGATATTTAGGCACTTTGGGTGTCAGGCACATTTAGGTACTCGGATACATCTGATAAAGGGACTTGTTCATAAAATAGTCTTTAAAAAATGAGAAGAGGGGTGCCTGGGTGGCTCAGTTAGTGAAGGGTCCAACTCTTGATTTTGGCTCAGGTCATGGTCCCTCTCCCTCTGCCCCTCTGCCCCTCCCCCGTCCCCTGCACTCTCCCTCCTCTCTCTGTCTCAAATAAGTAAATAAATCTACAAAAAAAAAAAAAAAAAGGAAAGAATAAGCCACAGATTGGGCAAAAATGTTTACACATCACGTATCTGATAAAGGAGTTATATCCAGAACGTATTTTTTAAATAAAAAACACTCTCAAAACTCACCAATAAAAAAAGAACCCACCCAATAAAAAACGGGTGGTATATGAGTGGATACTACCCCAAGAGATACATGAGTAGCAAATAGGTATATGGAACGACTGAAGCCTTCGTGAATTTGTGTGTGTGTGTGTGTGGCTTAGGCCAGATAATGAATGTGAAATGGTTTTTGGGTTACAAAGGAGCCCATTCCACTGGGAGGACCTACCCTAGCCACTGCCCTTTCTGAGAAAGTTCCACCAGCCATTGTGGTCGGCTTGTATATGTGATACACGTGAGGTCTGCCCAGCAGAGAAGGCAGGGCCGTGATCAATACCCACTTCTGTCTTGATTAGTCCGGCTGTGAGACATACAGAGAGAACCAGCAGTTGGTAGTCATGTCAGAAGGTGACTTGCACCCAGGACCAGACCTTGCCAATTGCAGACCTTTTCTCAACATCTGTTATACTGATGGGAATAGAACCTCAAAAACTGTTTTATGAATTTATTCTTTCATTCTCAGTGTTAATTGTTGCTTCTCAAACATCAGTTTGATTGTCTAAAATCCTCTAGCGTAGTTGGTTTAAAATAATAAACTCCCGAGATTGGACTAGAACTGCCAGCATGGACATACACTCTCCTAATTTAGGTGGGATCAAGTTAGTCGCTTGACTTGTGAATTAACTTGGTGTGCACTCCAGAGACATGTTCACTATCAATTACCACCAAATCAGTGGTAATCTGGCTTCAGCTGACATTCCGTTTCAAAATTCCTGCTTTGCTTTATAATTCCATGGCATGTGTTCTTAGGAAACCTGAAGCACATTATTTAAATTTTATCTCCTGACAGTTATCCTAGAAATAAGAGAGAAATGGAGCCCACTTCGAAATGGGGTTCACTCTGCACCTCCCCCCACTCAAGCGCTCTCTAAATAAGCAAACAAAAACAATCTTAGAAAAAAAAGAAATTGTAGTATTTCCATATAGTGGACTACTATTCAGCAATAAAAAGGAATGAATGCCCAATATACTTAACAACGTGGATGAATCTTGAATAATTATGCTGAATATAAGAAGACAGACTTTATTTTTATTTATTTATTTTTTAAAAGACTTTATTAATTTGAGAGAGAGAGCGTGCAAGCACGAGCAGGGGCAGGGGCAGAGGGAAAGAGGCAGGGGAGGCAGACTCCCCACCAAGCACAGGGCTCGATCCCAGGGCCCTGAGATCTTGACCTGAGCCACAGTCAGATGCTTAATGGTACTGAGCCACCCAGGTGTCCCTAGTCTTTCATAATTTGAAAGGCTGCCCAGAAATGGATCAATAGCTTTGCATCTAAAACTCTGAGAAGAGCGCAAGGCACTCTATATGTTGCAAACCCCACCGCGTATATTGCAAGTTACAGAATACCAAGTCCACGGAAATGATTTCATCTCTCTCTCTCTCTCTCTTTTTTTTATTGTGGTAAAAAATACAAGACAGGGGCGCCTGGGTGGCTCAGTGGGTTAAGCCTCTGCCTTCGGCTCGGGTCATGGTCTTAGGGTCCTGGGATTGAGCCCCACATCGGGCTCTCTGCTCAGCAGAGAGCCTGCTTCCCTTCCTCTCTCTCTCTGCCTGCCTCTCTGCCTACTTGTGATCTCTGTCTGTCAAATAACTAAATAAAATCTTTTAAAAAAAAATACAAGACATAAAATTTACCATTTAAACCACTTTTAAGTGTACAGTTCTGTGGCATTAAGTAC